TTTTTTTTTTTTTTTTTTTTTTTTTTTTGAGACAGAGTCTCACTCTGTTGCCTGGGCTAGAGTGTCATGGCGTCAGCCTAGCTCACAGCAACCTCAAACTCCTAGGCTCAAACGATCCTTCTGCCTCAGCCTCCGGAGTAGCTGGGACTACAGGCATGCACCACCATGCCCAGTTAAAATTTTTTTCTATATATTTTTAGTTTTCCAGCTAATTTCTTTCTATTTTTAGTAGAGATGGGGTCTTGCTCTTACTCAGGCTGGTCTCGAATTCCTGGCCTCAAGCGATCCTCCCGTCTCGGCCTCCCAGAGTGCTAGGATTACAGGCGTGAGCCACCATGCCGGGCCCACATTTCCTTCTTAATTTCAAGATTAAAATAAAAGAAACAGCCCTTGCTATTATAATTCTATGCCCCTAAATTCATTCAGAAGAAAGATTGGCCACCCAGATGGAAAGGAAGGAAAGAGAGCTTCCCATACAGTGATGCCAAAGGTGAATCTTGAAGGGTGAGCAGGAATTAGCAGAGCAGTATGGCTGTAACCTTCTATAACGATAGTCTTTTTCTTTTTCATTTTACCTTTTGTTCTTTCTTTCTTCCTTCTGTTTCTCTTTCCTCTCCCCTCCCCTCTCCTCTCCTTTTTTATTTTTGAGACAGAGTCTTACACTGTCACCCCAACTAGAGTGCAGTGGTGTCTTCATAGCTCACTGCCACCTCAAACTCCTGGGCTGCAGAGATCCTCCTGTCTCTGTCTCCCTAGTAGTTGGAACTAAAGGGTCAGGCCACCACGCTTGGCTAATTTTTCTATTTTTTGTAGGGACAGGGTCTTGCTCTTGCTCAGATAATCTCAAACTCCTGGCCTCAAGTGATCCTCCAGCCAATATATGTCTCTTGATATTTATTTCACATCATTTTATGAAGTATATATAAGATTGAAATTTTTACATATTCATTGTGAATCAAATCATTGTGGAATGACCCTCTCAATCCCAGTTAATACTTTTTGTCATATCTTTTCAGTTTGATATTAATATAACTGACCTTGCTTTATTTTGATTAGCATGTGCCTGGCAAATTTTCTTCTATCCCTTTATTTCACAATTCCCTGTATCCTTATGATTTGGTAGGTTTGGCATACTCTGCATATGGCTGAATTTGTTAATTTTCATCCAAAAATGACAATCTTTAACTGGAGAGTTTAGTTCATTAACAACATTTAAAAAATTACTGATTATGTAGTAAAGTATGAACTTTAAATATCAATTTATTCTTACCTTCTTACATTTTGCTATTTTCCTGCCCTTTCTATAAATCTTTTTCTACTTCCTTGAGTTTTAAAAATTGATTTGCTTTTTTTGTTTGCTTTTCTCGTTGCCTACCTCATAATTAATAGGAGATAGTAAAGTAGTAATAATATGGGAAAATTGGATAGCCACATGTAGAAAGACTGAAACAGGATCCGCACCTCTCACCTCTCACAAAAATCAACTCACAGTGGATAACAGACTTAAACCTAAGGCGTGAAAGCATAAGAATTCTAGAAGACAATGTTGGGAAAACTCTTATAGACATTGGCCTAGGCAAAGAATTTACAAAGAAGACCCCCAAAGCAATTACAGCAACAACAAAAATAAATAAATGGGACCTGATCAAATTAAAAAGCTTCTGCACAGCCAAGGAAACTATCATCAGAGTGAACAGATGACCTACAGAATGGGAGAAAATATTTGCATGCTACACATCTGATAAAGGTCTGATAACTAGAATCTATATAGAACTCAGGAAAGTCAGCAAGAAAAAAAAATCAGACAACCCCATTAAAACGTGGGCAAAGGACATGAACAGAAACTTTTCAAAAGAAGACAGACTAATGGCCAAGAAACATGAAAAAATGCTCAACATCTCTAATCAGCAGGGAAATGCAAATCAAAACCACACTGATTACCTGCATAAAGAAATGTGGTAAAAATTTTTCTAAAAAAGACAATAAAAAATAAAAATACCCACACTGAGATATCACTTAACTCCAGTTAGAATGGCTTTTATCGAAAAGTCCCAAAACAACAAATGTTGGCATGGATGCAGAGAGATAGGAACACTCCTACACTGATGGTGGGACTGCAAACTAATACAACCTGTATGGAAATAGGGTGATATCTCAAAGAATTAAAAGTAGACGTACCATTTGATCTAGCAATCCCACTACTGGATATTTACCCAAAAGAAAAAAAGGCATTCTATAAAAAAGACACCTGCACTTGGATGTTCATAGCAGCACAATTCACAATTGCAAAGCTGTGGAAACAACTAAAGTGCCCATCAATTCATGAGTGGATTAATACAATATGGTATATGTATACCATGGAGTTCTCCTCAGCCATAAAAAATGATTAATACCCCGTGTACTATCCTGGGTGGAGCAGGAGTCCATTCTTCTTTTTTTTTTTTTTTTTTAGACAGAGTCTCACTTTGTTGCTCAGGCTAGTGTGAGTACTGTGGTGTCAGCCTAGCTCAGAGAAACCTCAAACTCCTGGCTCAAGCAATCCTGCTGCCTCAGCCTCCCGAGTAGCTGGGACTACAGGCATGCGCCACCATGCCCGGCTAATTTTTTCTATATGGATTAGTTGGCCAATTAATTTCTTTCTATTTATAGTAGAGACGGGGTCTCGCTCTTGATCAGGCTGGTTTTGAACTCCTGACCTCGAGCAATCCACCCGCCTCAGCCTCCCAGAATGCTAGGATTACAGGCGTGAGCCACCGCGCCCGGCCTCCATTCTTCTAAGTATCACAAGAATGGAAAAACAAAAACAAACAAACAAAAGAATGGAAAAACACGCACCACATTTACTGACCATTAAATTGGTACTAAGTGATCAACACTTACCTGCATATGTGGAAGTAACATTCATAGGGCGTCGAGTAGGTGGGAGGGGGAAGGGGATGGGTAAATTCACACCTAATGGGTGCGATGCGCATTGTCTGGGGGTTGGTCCCGCTTGTAGCTCTGATTCGGACAGTGCAAAGGCAATTCATGTAACCAAAGAGTTTGTATCCCGATAATATTCTGAAACTTAAAGAAAGTATAATCAAAAAAGAAATTATTCAAAATAATTGGAAATGATAAAGGAAGCAGTTTTCCTGCTATGCACAACAATGTAATGATCAATCACCTCAAGTATGTAAAGCAGCGTGACAATGGCGGCAGAAGAGACAAGCGTATACCGGGGAGCCTGCGGCAGTGCTCCGAGGGGTGGCGCAGTGCACGTAGTCGCATCATTTCTCGAACTGTACACTTTGAACTTTTGGGGGTACAGCTGCTCCACTGGGCTCCTGAGCAAGCGCAAACCCAACACACGCACTAAGGGGCGGGGCTGGGGTCGTTACCAGAGCCGGAAGTGCTTAGTCTTTAGCTACACCTGCCACGAGGCTCCAAGGTTTAGCGCCCTTGGCACGCCTGAGCTATTATTTTACAAGAGGTTTGATGACGAACTTTGGGTTTTGTGACTGGAGGGTGGGTGTAGGGTTATTGAAGTGGGTTTGGGGGTTGATAATGGAGGCCTTTGGAGTTACGAAGGGGACTTGCTCTCAGTTGAGTTGAATGCCCTGAGTCGAATGTTGCGAGTTGAATGCTCCGATTAGTCATTTCTTACGTTTTTCTTATTTTCTCATATTCTTGGCGTTAGGATCCAATTTGAGAATACAAGTTAGGTAGGTATTGTTTTTGTAATTATGAAGTTCTAAGTGTTTTATAATTTCAGTTATTTTTCTTTTTATGAAGAGTTATTTCGACGTGCTTTTTAATTTCCCGAACTTAAGCCTTGCATTGATTTCTAATGCAGTTTATCTGTGCGGCGTGCGATGCTTACTCATTGGAATGTGTTTAGACTTGCTTTAAGGCTAAGTCCAGGGTCAGTTTTATTAATATTGCATCGCTAGCTTGAAGATAGTATGTATGAGTTCTACAATTGATAATTGTCTTATTCAAGACATGTGTTCTTCCGGTGTGTGTGCTTGCTCTCTTAATCACTGAGAGTAGTGATTTGTTCACGTGTGCCTACATATGAACACAAACATATTTATATTTGTATATTTATATATTTTAAATATATAAATTTATATATTTATATAAATATACTGGTGATACTGGGTCCAAGTAGGAATATTTTTCAGAATAAAGACTGTGAAATTATTCTAGGTGGGTGGGTCTGGGCAGGCAGGGCTGGGCCGGGTGCGGGTGGCTCACGCCTGTAATCCTAGCACTCTGGGATGCCCAGGCCAGTGGATCGTTTGAGCTCAGGAGTTTGAGAACAGGGCAGGCAGGGCTGGGTCTGGCATATGCTGGTAGAGAAGGGGTATAGGGTCTGGCATGTTTCAACATGTCTCAGCATGTTGGGAGGTGAGGCAGAACCAAGTATGTCAGAGAAGTGGGGAGAGGCATGTGGGGTTAAAGAGTCAGGGGGCCTGGGGGACAGGGACAGGCGGGGGTGGAGCTGGGTATGTCCTGGTTCCATGTATGGGGCCCACAGGGCTGGGAGGGTAAGGTGAGACCAAGTGTGTCCAGGAGGGCAGGGCAGGGCAGACAGGGGTCCTGGAGAGACATTAGAGTGAGACAGGTGAGTGGGCTGAACATGCCTGAGGGGTGGGCCCAAGTGTGTTTGGGCAGGCTGGCGGAGGTGGGCTTGTCTGGGTCCATGGTGCAGGGCAAGCAGGGTAGCAGATGTGTCCTGGAGGAAGGGGTAGGGCAGGCTGAGTTAAGCAAGTCTGAAGGGGTGAAGTCTAGCTTTTCTGGGCAGGTAATTAGGGCCTTATGCATCCAGGTAGGCAGGGTGGGGCCAGATGTATCCAGGTGTGTCTGGATATAGTGGGCACACAGGACCTAGTGGCACCAGTCATTCCCAGGCAAGCAGGGCCTACTGTATCCAGGAAGGTGCAGTGGCCCTAGGCCAGGTTGTCCAGAGGATAAAGCCAGGAGTGTTGGGGCTGGGTGGGCCTGTATCCACTTAGGGCTGACCAAGAGCCCTCCTCCCACCAGCGAGGGAATCCTACTTATAACTTTGGTCTTTGGTGAGTGCAGCACACAGGGTAGATGGGGAGTGAGGCTCATGCTTAGGGTCTGCCCCTCAGATCTTACCTGTAACCCCCTCAGATCTTACCTACAACCCCCTCAGAGATCTTGCTATGGTCTCTGCCCACTTTACAGCTGCCCCAACCATAGAAGTCCAGGCTGGCCCAGAAGTACAAGATGGCAGTGGTGCCACTGGCAGCAAAGGAGGCACCTGGGACAACAGCCACACCCCAGCTGTTGTCTGAAGAGGACCTGCCTTGGGATGCTGACCTATTCCAGGACGCTTGCCGAGGGGATTTTTGGCAATCCAAGCCTGTTGAGCATGTGACAGGGCCCTGGGGTGGAATGACGGAGACAACGAAGGTAGGGAAGGTCAGCAATGAGGTGAGAGGGGGCAGGGAGTGTCCAAAGACCTTTTTGAGACACCCGATGTGGGGAGCCTGTCAGTATTTTCCTGGTCTGCAGCTCGGGGTGAGTGACACTGCGGAGCTTCCGTTCCTGGATCCCATGCCGCAGGAACAGGCACTGGGTGCGAAGCACATGGAAGATCTAAAGGAAAAGGTGGAGTGGAAGGTGGCAGAAATGGTAGGAGGGGGGCATAGAGGTAGAGGTCGGAGGTGGAATGCAGGGCACCCTGGCCACTCTTGCCCCCCAGATGGAGAAGAAGCAGAAGCAGAAGCAGAAGCACACATATGAGGGGAAACCTGAGCAGGAGACACATGCCAAGGACCCTGCCCCACTGCGGCAGTGTTTGGGCCCTGGCTGTGTCTATCCCACCCGGCCAGGTTCCAAGTACTGCTCGGATGACTGTGGCATGAAGCTGGCAGCTGAGTGAGTGCATCTGGAGGTTAAGAGACAAAATGTGAAGTAGGGTGTGATCTATGCCATCTGGAACTCCAGCCCCCCCCCAGCCACCCACTCATGTAACCATGAATTTGCATTCCATCCACTAACCTGCTCATTTACCCTTATCGTCACTAACCTACCCATACCCCCAGCCAGCCAGCCAGCCACCATTCAATCAACTACTCATCAACATTCTCTCAGCCACCATTCAATACCCTTTACATTCACCATCCACTAAGTCATCCATTTCTTTTTCCTTTGATGCCCTCATCCACCAATTCCATTTCTTGCTGTCTCCCCTTCCAGCCGCATCCGTGAGATCCTGCCCCAGCGCATCCAGCAGTGGCAGAGAAGCCCCTGCATTGCTAATGAGCATGGCAAGAAAATGCTCGAACGCATCCACCGTGAGCAGCAGGACACCTACACCCGCCTGAAGAACTTGGAGTGCCAGTTCCATGAACTTGAGGCCATCATTCTTCGTGGCAAGCAACAGGCTGTGTGCAAGGATGTGGAGGTGAGAGGGCAGAGTGGGTGGAGAATAAGGGTATCTGGTATCTTGCCCTGCCCATCCCACCCTGTACTGCTTCACTGGCCCCTCCACTACCTGGTACAGAGCAACAAAGGTGACAAGGACAGAGTAGACCTGAAGATCTTCTGTGTCTCCTGTGGGCAACCCATCAATATGCGCATGGCCCTGCGCCACATGGAACGCTGTTTTGCCAAGGTTGGAGCATTAGCTGGAGGTCAGATGGTGCTGGGTGGGGTGGAGGGGTGGCTCGGGATCCACAGGCAGGTTTGGTGCCTGGGTACTGGCAGGAGGGAACGCAGCACATGTCCGTGGCTCCACCCATTTGTGCTCTTCCTCCATCCCCAGTATGAGTGTCAAAGTCGGGGCATTAGCCAGCAGCGGTGGGAGTGGGGGACATTGGCTGTGCAGACAGGAGCATACAGGTCCACAGGGGACGATGTGTCCTTTGGAGCTTTATCACGGGAGGGCATGCAGCATATGTCCACAGTTCCTCCCATTTGTGCTCTTTTTTCCCAGTATGAGTGCCGATCGACCTTTGGGTCCCTGTACCCTACTTGCATTGAGGGGTGAGTGTGGGCGCTACATGCACAGGCTCAGGAGCAAGGGGGAGCAAGGTCAGGGCAGGGTGTGGGTGGGCTCAGGGGCAGGGTTGGGGTGAGGCCTCCTGCCTCCTTCACCCTCAGCACCTCACTTTCCACCTCCCCCCAGGACCACTCGGCTCTTCTGTGATGTCTATGACCCACAGAGCAAGAGGTACTGCAAACGGCTTCAAGTGCTGTGCCCTGAGCACTCTCGGGACCCCAAGGTGAGACTTTTCCTTCCCCGCCTCATGCCCGTTCCTCCATTCCTACAGTCCTCCCGGCCTGACCTACCTCCCTATCTCCTGACCAGCCCTGTGTATCCCATCCTCCCGTCCTGACTGCCCTCTGTTCTCATGTTTCTCTGCCTGGCTGTGCATATTTATTCATGCCTTCTCACCTGACCTCCTGCATTTCTTCTGGTGGTCCCAGCCCGCCTCACTGCCTACACCTCCCCACATTCTTCTCCTCTCCCTGCCTGAGCACCCTCCATTCCTGTCCTACCCCAATTCTTTCTCCTCCTCCCTGTCTGGTACCCACTTTCTGACTCCCCCACTCTAATGATTCTCCCTGTCTCCTGCCCCCGATTATCTTCTCTCTGCCTGTCATCTCTTACATCCTTTCTTCCTCCCTGCTTCAGCCCCCACCCCCACGTCCCTGCCGCAGTCCTCAACTCCTCCCTGCCTCAACGCCCCACTCTTCTGTTACCCCTGCTGCACCCCCCGCCCCACCCTCCTGCCCCTTCTGCCTGTTTGATCTCTTTCCATGCCTCATTGTGCCCCATTTATCCATCTACTCTGAGTTCTCCACCCTGTCCTCCACTCCCCTGTCGCTGTCACCGTCGCCATACCTGCCCGATCACCCCTGGCCACCCTCCTCCGTAGCTCACCCCCCTTAATTCTTCCCCAAAGGTACCAAATGATGAGGTGTGTGGCTGCCCACTAGTGCACAATGTCTTTGAGTTCACGGGTAATTTCTGTTGCCTCCCCAAACACCTGTGTGACCGCCACTACTGCTGGGAGAAGCTGCGGCGTGCTGAGGTGGACCTGGAGCGTGTGCGCGCGGTAGGGGCCCAAGGCCCAGGGGGCGGGTGGGATGTGGGAGAGGGTCCTACAATCCCCCTGCTCACGCTCACCTCCCACAGTTGCACAAGTTGGAAGAGCTGTTTGAACAGGAGCAAAAGGTACGCACGGCTATGACCAACCGGGCGGGGCTGCTGGCCCTGATGCTTCATCAGACGACACAGCACGACCCACTCACCACTGACTTGCGCTCCAGGCCAGAGAGCTGAGGCCTGCCCCACCTAGGTCTGGTGTTGCACACCCAAGAATGCCCCACATGCCTGTTGCTCCATCCACCTTTTTCTCAGGGCATCTTGGAGTTTCCCTCTGTGCTTCTCTGTCCACCACTTGGTCTCCTGTCCCTCTGTCTACCTGCCCTCGAAGAAGGGATGTCCAGAAATTCCCTGTTCCCATCCGTCCCTCCATCCTTCTTTCTTCCCTGATCCTGGGAGAGACCAGGAGATCTGCTATGCCCTCATCTCCACTGTCCACAGTTGTTAATGAATTTTGCAAGAATAAGGTTTTTGATATGTTCTGATGTTCCCTAAACCTAGCTCTCTGGCTGCAAACCCAATTTCAAACCTCCAATAGTGGCAGGTGACAGTGCAGCTGTACTTAGGAGGGCAATGCACATGCAGGGCTGGGTGTGAGCTGATGCCTACTCAGTGCTCAGTGAGTCCTCCTCTGTCAGGGGAGCCAGTGAGCCTTGTTCCCCACAGACCACCATCTGGGCCATCAGGTATGTAATTGACACCAGATTATTCCACAGCCAATTTGCCCACTCCTGTGTAATTGTTAATATGCCCCAGGCCAGAGATGTTGGAAAAATGTTGAAATAAATGGTTAAGCCTCCCTTTTAGCATAACTCTTAGGAAGACTGGGGATAGGGGAGCATGGGACAGTCCTCCCTGATGTTTCTACTTTGGGACACTGAGGAGAATTCAGAGTGGTACCATTTTCCCTGCCTTGCCATCTTGTTCCACCCCTGGCCATCCCACAAGGTCCCAGCCCTGTCTGTCAGCCTCGGCTTCTTCCAGTCCCTTCCAGGTCTAAACTACTCATCACGTCTTGGCTGCCTCCCTGCACCACCCTTCTCTGGATCTGCCCTGTCCTCTCCAGCCTGCCTGTTCATTGATTCCCCGTGGTGTCACACTCATTTCACACCCATAGGCTTGCTAGAAGAGGACTGGGACCTCTGCTGCATCTGCCTTGTCAGCCCCTGGCCAGGCCTCCTATGCCAGTGGAGCAGTAGCGCTGCGTGTGGGTACTGGTATGTCTCAAATGCTAGACTTGAACTACTTTTCCTGTTTTTTTCCCTATGCTCACTGATCCCTTATGAATTTTTTGATCAGTTTTCATACTCTTTTCCCAGGAGCTCACATGTTTTCCCAGAATATTTCAGTATGTTGCTCTAGACTTATACATATCCTTCCACTATAACTAGTTTATATTACTTACCTGTCTGATGCAATATCTCCTTTCTTATTACTAATGTTGTATGTTGTTTCCTTTCAATTTGATGAGATTTCCCAGAGGTTAATCCATATAATTAATTGGTCATTTGAAGGAATCAGCTTATTGTCCTATTTTTATATTTATATTATATTTATATATTTAATTTAAATTTTTATTAGCATTTCTTTTTTGTTCTTTTTCTTTTTTCTTTTTTTTTTTGAGACAGAGTCTGGTTCTGTTGCCTGGGCTAGAGTGCCTTGGCATCAGCCTAGCTCACAGCAACCTCAAACTCCTGGGCTCAAGCGATCCTGCTGCCTCAGCCTCCCGAGTAGCTGGGACTACAGGCATGAGCCACCATGCCCGGCTAATTTTTTTTTGTTTCTCTATATATTTTAGTTGTTTGGCTAACTTCTTTCTATTTATATTAGAGACGGGGGTCTCGCTCTTGCTCAGGCTGGTCTTGAACTCCTGATCTCAAGCGATCCTCCCGCCTCAGCCTCTCAGAGTGTTAGGATTACAGGCATGAGCCACCACGCCCAGCCTGTTCTTTTTTCTAATTTCCTGAGTCCCAACTCAATTATTTTTGGGTTTCCAGTCTTTTTTTAAATAGTAAACGAATTGAGGCTACACACTTTCCTCTACATGTAGCTGTGTCCCCAACACTCTGGTATGAAATATGCAACTACAGAATTAACTTTTCACTTTGATTCTAGGTATTGAGGACAGTTTCTTAGGTTCTTACGTCTTAGGGTAGTTTAGTTATCTTTTCTTTCTTTTTATGTAATTATGTTTTTTACTATGATCAGAGAATATAGCCTGTTGAATATGAATTTGTAAATGTTATTTAATATTTTCCCTGTGGCTCAGATACTCAATTGAATTTTATAAAACATTTGTGGATATGAAAGAGAAAACTGTATTATGTTTGTTAGGTACAGATTATTCATTAGAACTTTTGAATCTAGTTTGATGGTTAATGTTTCTTCACTCTTTTGTCTTTCTGTCTACTTTAGCTGTTATATTATCAAAAGGTAGAATAAACCTGTTGTGACATTTTAAAACAAATTTCTCCTTGTGGTTCTGTGTTTTTTTGGGGAAGGGAATCCTAAAGTATATATCTTGGGCCATTATATATTTTCATTATTTTTTTCTATTGAGTGCTTTTGACTTTGAATTTTACTTTGATAAATTCATTGCCACAGCTTTTATTTTGCTGCCACTTACCTGGTGTATCTTAGCCTAAACCTGTATTTTGCATTTTTCTCTTTAAGATATACTTCTTGTAACTTTATATAAGTATAGATTTTTTACCCTAATCCCACATTTGTGTCTTGAGATTCAGTCTGTTTAAATTTGTGTAATTATGATAATCTTCTTTGTATTATATTGTGTGTATTATTGACTTTATTCTTTTCTAAATACAATTTTTATCCTTTCTTCTTCCTAATGGCTTAGTGAAGTTTGTTCATTTTTGCTTACCTCATTAATTTTCATTTTCATTTTTATTTTTATTTTTACTAATTGTCCCATTATATACTTTTTCCATTTCTCACAGGCATGACTTAATTTATATTTTCTCTACTATTTGATCAGAATAGAAACAGACCTTTCTTTATAGGGAAAGATGCTTTATCCTCCAGATTTGCCTCAGCAAGATGAACAGTATTGCCTTTTGATTTTTCTAGAAAAATTTAAGCTGTTTATTTGAAGACTATATTTTGCTTTAGTTAATTCTGCATCAAGAAATCTCACTTAACATTTTTATTCAAAATCTCCAGTCACTTCATCTGTCATAATTAAACATTAGCTACATCAGTGTATGCCTAGGGCTGTGTATTTTACTACAACAGTCATTGCTAACCATTGTTTTGCTGTCTTATTTTGCGATCTCTCTTCTGATTTAGAATAGGTCCTTGAGTGTTTTCCTTAAACAGAGCAAGTTGGCAGAATACTCTTTAAATTATTTCGTGTCTGGAACTGTCATTTTTTTGCCCTAACTGAGGAATGGTATCTTGGGAAGAGGGTATAGGATGTGTACAGGGTGTCTGAGGGAGAGGTGATGTACTACTCTATAAGAACATAATTAAATAAGTGAAATTTGTACTTCTGGCAAAATATAAATTATCATAATTTTAAAATTTAAATTTAAAATCCATAAGAAACAAATGGTCATAGAAGAGAATGAAAAATAAAGCTTTTATCAGGGCGAATGTGTGGCATCAGCTATTCCTGTGCTGACCATGTAAGGACTCTGATCCTTTACATTGAGAACACCTGTTGGATATGTTCATTTATTCAACATTTACTGAGCACCTGCTATATGCCCAGGTACTGTTCAAGTTGTGTGGGAGATACAGCAATAAACAATATAGATCAGAAAAAAAATAAAGCTTTTAAAGCAGCTTTTTTATTGTGGTATTGGACTGAAAAACATATATGTTAAAAGTTTTCTGACCTGGTGGGCCACCGTATTCTTGGTCCTTTGGCTTAAAGAGAGCAGGCTTTACTTGGGGCTTGCTTTTGTCTGTACCCATGGGTGTTTGTGGGTTCTGGCTTCTCTAATGCCCAAGCTGGAATATATAGGAAGCAAGAAAAAGCCTCAGTGAACGCACCATTAGGTTGTTCCTTGTTTCCAGAGGTCCCAACCCACCTTCTCTTCTCTTTGTCCTCAAGTCTTCTGAAAAGTGACATATATTTTGTCCAAAGATTTTTTTTCAGACTTCACCACTATACATATCCAAAGATTTTTGTTGTGATTACCAGGAGGAATAGAATGGAATGTATTTAGTCTACCTTTTCCAGAACCAGAAGTCCATGATATAATTCTGTACCAAGAATGAAGAGATTCCAGTAAAAAATTACCAGAACAAGAGGACTTGATAAGGTGCTGAGATCCAAGAGAAAATTATAAAAAATAGTTTTTCTCTACATTACCAGTTAATAGATGAAACAGGGAAAATGTCTTATTCACAGTGACAAAATATACATAAGAAGCAAAAAGGTCCTCAACAGATAAGAAAATGAATAATTTTTATTATAAGATGTAACTCTAAATAAATGAATTATTTACCATATACCTGGCGAAGATGACTGTAGGAGAAAAATATTAAGCCTCCAATATTTACTACATTGTAACAAGTAAATTCCAATCAGAATTCAAATTTTGTTCCAACTTGATAATATAAAAGTTTATATGTAGGCATAAATGTGCAGAGTTAAGAAAATAATGTAAAGTAATACTGAAGGAAGTGCTTGAACTATGAGATATGAGATATTGAAACGTACAATGAAGATCCTCCTGCTTCAGCCTCCCAGATTGCTAGGATTATAGGCGTGAGCCACAGTGCCCAGCAGAAACTTACTATGAAGATCAATATAATCAAAACAGGAGTAAATAGACCAGTAAAACACAAGCAATAAATGCACAACATTTAGAATTTGATCTAAATTCTTGAGAATACATATGATGCAAGTTGTGTTCAATTGCGGGAGGATGGGGCAGTTCATTATGTAAATGGAACAAGCATAGCAAGACAACTACCTAGAAAAAAAGTGAGGTCTTCACCTTACTAGAATACAAATTCCAGTGGAATTGAATATTTGATTATAGAAAACTTTATTAAAAGGGATGCTGTGTTAATTTCCTAGGACTTTGGTAGCAAAGTACCACAAACTGTGTAGTATAAAACAACAGAAATTTATTCTCTCACAGTTCTGGAGTCTAGAAGTCTGAAATCAAGGTTTTGGCAAAGCCGTGCTCCCTCTGAAGGCTCCAGGAGAGGATCTTTCCTTGTCTCTTCCAGCTTCTGGTAGCCTTAGATATTCCTTGGCTTGTGATAGCAAATTTCCAATTTCTGGCTCCATCTTCACATGACATTTTCCCTGTGAGTCACGTGGGCATCTTCTCATGACATCAGCCATATTGGATTAGGGGCCTACCTTGTTCCATCTTAACTAACTACATCTGACTACAATGACCCTATTTCCACATAAGGTCACATTCTGAGGTCCTGGGGGTTAGGACATCAATAAATCTTTTGGGGAGACAATCAATCCCATAACAGATATTGTAAGAAAATTTAGGAATACATCTTTGTAAAACCTTGGTGGTTGGCCAGGCGCAGTGGCTCACACCTGTAATCCTAGCCCTCTGGGAGGCTGAGGTGGGCGGATCGCTAAAGGTCAGGAGTTTGAGACCAGCCTGAGCAAGAGCGAGAGATCGTCTCTACTAAAAATAGAAATAAATTAATTGGCCAACTAAAAATACATAGAAAAAATTAGCCAGGCATGGTGGTGCATGCCTGTAGTCCCAGCTACTCGGGAGGCTGAGGCAGAAGAATTGCTTGAGCCCAGGAGATTGAGGTTGCTGTGAGCTAGGCTGACGCCACGGCACTCTAGCCTAGGCAACAGAGTGAGACTCTGTTTCAAAAACAAACAAACAAACAAACAAATAAAAAACCCAAACCAACCAACCTTGGTGGTGGTGGCCGGGAGGAGGTTCCTTAGTGCACCAGAGGAAACCTAAAGGTCATGATGGGAAAGAACAACAATTTTGATCCGATAAGCATTTCTTTCTAATTATATATTAAAAGATGTTAAAAATTCAAAGGATCATGAAGTGGGAGGAGGCCAGGAGTTTGAGGTGTAATGAGCTATGATGACACCACTGTACTCTGGCCCGGGGAGTGAGCAAGACCGTGTTTCAAAAAAAAAAAAAAAAAAATCACAGGATCAAGAAAGATATGAAAACACAGATCAGTATGTGACAGATAGGGACTGATATCTCCAAATTAGAACTTGTATAATTTATATGGGGAAAAATCTAAAGGAAAAAAATGAAGGATATGAAATATGCTTTGATATTCATGTGATATGACTATGATATACATATATATCCATATGCATATATTATAAAGGAACCATGATTTATACTGACATTCATGAGTTCATACAGGG